GCCAGTCTGCTCTTGTGGAATCTCCCAGGGCCGAGAGGGGCTTTGTTGAGACCTTCAGAGCTCCCCAGGCAGGTGCATGTGGGCTCAAGCCCCAGCCTTTCTGCTTTCTGGCTGTGTGATCTTGTACCAGAGGCTTAACCTCTCTGAGCCAGTTTTTCATTGTGAATTCCTACCTTGTGACTTGTGTAAGGGGCATTTATAGAGCCACAAGGGTTCATCCTAACACATTTGTGAGTCCAGGTGAGAGGGGTGTGTGCCACCACAGATGTGCATAGGCCAAACCCCTGGCCTTAAAATGCACGTCTCGCTAAGGTTTCAGCAAGCTACTAGCAGCCTCTGGAGCTGCCAGCACCCCACACCTTCCCCAGCTCCCTCCTGGACTGAGCAGCCAGCTTATTTACTAGCAGACAGCCAGAATGTGGGTCTGGACAACAGCTCCTGGCAGTGAAACCATGGAGTGACCCAGTGATAGGGTGGAAGTGGACACCAGCCAGCCCAGCCATGCTTGGCCCCAGAGCAGCTGGGCAGCCTCTCCCTGCCACTGTGTGGCTTGAGAGCTGGCCACAGGAGGGACCTGTACTTGCCTGAGAAAGAATATGCAGATGTGTGCTGGGTGTGGTGGTACATGCCTGTAATCCCAGCTACGCAGGAGGCAGGGATAGTAGGATTGAGGTCCAAGGCTGGCCAGTACAAAAGTGGGAGACCCTATCTGAAAAACAAACTACAAGCAAAGGGGCTGGGGGCTTGGCTCAAGTGGTAGAGCGCCTGCCTATCTGGCACACTAAACACCCTGAGTTCAAACCCTGGTACTGTCCAAAAAGAAGACATGTAGATGGAAGGAGCTGGAGGAGGACTAGGAGCGTAAGGGTTAGAATGCACTTGTAGGACAGGCAGGCCTCAGGATAGAGGTTGAGTGACTCATGGAGCTGAGCACCTTGCTGTACACTAGACCTTCCCAACAGTGAGGGAGCCACAAAACAGTCTCCGTTACAGTGGTGTGTGGCTCTCCACCCTTCCAGTAAAATCTTATTTCTTAGTATTTACTTCCTCTTGTTAGGCAGAAATTCAGCTATATTTAAGTTAATTAATTGAATTTAAATGTAACTTAATTTTTCTCCTTGGGACGGGGTGTCTGTAATGACAGGACAACTGAGGACGGCTGTTCTGTAGCGGGGCTCGGTGACTGAGGGGCTTCAGGGCACTCGTGTGGGCCTGTGGTCACTGTCGGGGTCATCCTTCCCTGTCCTGGGTATGAGGGAGCGTCCTTCCCTGAGCAGACCACTTGGAATGAGGGCCTTTCCCTAGAAGGACCTGGACATTCCAGGTGGCGTATTGCAGATGAGAGTGGGCGCCAAGGTCACAGGCCAGGTTCTGAGTGAAAGTCTAACTCTCAGTGATCTGAAATGTGTCCAGTTCCTTTTCTGTGACAGCGGTGACATAGGGCAGTGATGACATAGGGCTGCCTCACTTCTGGGCTCCGGTGCATGGCAGCAGTGAGGAATTCCAGGGTGGCCATGGCTGGCATTTGTTCTGCTGAGTGAAGGGCCTGCATGCAGGTCCTGGTGCAGGCAGCTGCCCGGGTCACACGCCGCCGGGTCACATGCCCGTGAGGCCAGCCCAGATCCTATCTTCTATATTTAAAAAATAGATTTGGAATGCCTCTTTCCAAATTTGGAAACAGCTAAGAAAAGAGTCGTTCAGAGATGGTGGACCCAGAAATCTCCACCGCTTTGCCTGTTTTCGATGGACTTTGGGGCTAGGTGGCGATCTCCTTCACAGTGTTCTTTTAGGTGAAGTGACAATTGAATGTCACTCTCACGGTCCTAATGACAAAGCCGAACAACTAGGGAAGGAGGAAGGAGACCCTTATGCATCCCCACCCCCCCCCCAAAAAAAAAACTGCCAGTAACTATGGCAACCCAGCCTTCACAAGGATCTCTGGACTTGCTCAGTGCTCTGACCGTCCAGCTGCCCCCAGGGTTGCCACAGGGATTCTCCAAGGCTGTTTCTTTTTTATGTGGCTGAAGTGTAGCTTTGCTGTTTTGTTACACTCGGAAATCCCTTCCTCTGATTCCAGCTTGTCCTGAAAAAAGGGTCAAGGGGCAAGTATTTAGGTGTAATCGTGCCAGGACATTGGCACTGGGGTGGGGCAGGGCAGGGTTTCTGTGGTGACAGTGTGGAGGACAGAGGTGGAGGTGAGTTGAGCAGAGGAGTGGGTAGGTGGGTGACTGGATGGCCTCTGGGCCAAATTAAGAACAATGGGGGGGTGACAGGTAGGGGATAGGAGTAAAGGCAACTGGGACTCACTACCGTGACACTTCCTGGCTTTGGGGCCTGAGGGAAGGCAGACTGTGGGATTTATTTAGAAAACGCTGAAACCAGCTGTCCTGGGTTTTGGTTAGACTATTTATTTTTCTCCCAGAATACAAGTGTGTTTATGTGACTGCTTGATCCAAAAGCAGTGCTCCAGAAAGGGGCACGGTCATGTTGACAGGGTCAGTTAACAGTAGAGGAGGAGGAGCCGACCCTGCCCCTCCTCTGAAGGTCTTGGGGAAAGGCGCCTACCCCGCCACCTCAGTGGGCTCTCTTAAAACACAGCTGTGCTGAGTCACCACCCTCGGCTGTTGGGCCCAAGGGCTTTGCAGAACTTGGGGCACCCTGAGACCTGACTTTCCCTCCACAGCTGCCTGTACCCCAGCCCACGGGCTATTAGGATTTCTGCATGACATCGTTTCTTATAATCTTTCATGTGACTCAGTTTCCATAATAAATCCTGGAGGCAGGGCTGGGTCTGTATTTCCTGAGACCGGAAAGGATGTGGGCTCAGCACAGAAGTCAGGGATGGTGGCCTTGTAGTTCCCTTTGCTGGGAGCAGATGGGGGGCTGGGGCCCCTGGGAATGACAGCAGCTGACTTTGGGGCTGATGTCTGCGGTCTTTCTTGCCTCCTCCTTCTGCATTTCTGTTCCTTTACATCACAGGAAACTGGCAACAGGACTCTGACCACATTCACCCCATCATGGCTTTAAGGTCTCTGCTGGTTTTCACAACTGTCTCCTGAGATCCTGTGACTGCCTGGACTGGACCTCCAACCCCTCCTCCCCTCCACCTACACTGGGGTTCTGTGGTTTGCTTCTGTTTCAGCTGCCTTTCTAGGGTTGGGCCTTTTCTCTCTATAGAACCTTCAGTGGCTCCCATTGGCAGTAGTATTACTGTGCAGCAGAACCAGAAAGCAAGCTACATGGCTCACTTTTTTTTTCTTTTTGGTTTTTTGAGACAGGGTCTTACTGTATTGCCCAGGCTGGCCTCAAACTGCTGATCCTCCTGCCTCTGCCTCCAGAGTACTGGGGATCACAGGCTGCACCACGACACTTGGCTCATTTGAAGTTTTTTTTTTTTTTTTTAACAGCCACATTTATAAGAAGTACAAAGAAACAGGTGAAATTAACAATGCATTTTAGGATGGGGTTGGAACTTGGGGCTTTGCATTTGCTAGGCAGGTGCTCTACCACTTGAGCCACCCTGCCAGCCCTTTTTTCTGTTGGGTGTTTTGAGATAGGATCTCTCTTTTGTTGCCCAGGCTGGCCTCTAACAGATCATCACGATCTCTGCCTCTGGAATGGATAGGATTACAGGTGTGAGCCACTGACACCCAGCAGAATTATGATTTTAATTCTAAGTTAAACTCAAACACAATTAAAAAGTCACTGGTCCGTCAGGTCAGCCATGTTGCAAGCACTGACCAGCCTTGTGGGACTAAGCAGTGCAGGTCTATGTCATGTCCACAGTCATGGGAGCTTCCGTCAGACAGCAGTGCTGTCCATTGTGGCTGATATCTCCAGGGGGCTTTCAGAGTTTTCTAGACCCCAGCCCGAAGCTCTCTTGCTGCATTTCTTGACTTTGTTTTACCAGACTTGCTCCCTGTGTCCCTATGACCACTTTGAAATGCCCTTTCCTTTGCCTCTCCAGAGACGTCCCCTCCTTGGGGTAGGTCTGCAAGATGTCCCCTTTCTCGAAGGGCTGTCTCTGTGCTTATCCCTCTGCTTCCCACGTGTTCTGGAACACGAGGTGGCAGGCCTGTCCCGGCCCCCGCACGGTGGCATGCTGCCCTCTCCCCCAAGCCAGCTCTGAATGTCTCTTGAGATGCTGAGTGTGGGCCTTGACCGCCTGGAGAAACAGTCACACAAAGGCCAGCACTGTCCCCCTTCCAGCTGCCCCATGCTCTGTGCCAGCACCATGCAGGAACGCACCCGGGTCCAGGGCTGTAATTCTAAGCGGGCAGCAGCTCTGGGCCAACCTTCTTCTCTTTGCCTCCCAGAAGAAAACATGTGCCCGGCTGCTCTGGGACTCCTCTCTCCAAATGCATCACACATGCCAAAAGGGGCCCATGCCTCAATGGGACACCCCAATTGCTCACTGTGTGAACAAACCCACAAGGCCAGCTCCCCTGAAAGAAAGACCCCCTCCCACTCCCTTCTCGATCTTTCTTCAACTCCCAAGAGGGCCAATCCCAGCCTGCTCCTGTACCTTACATAGATGGTGTCATACAAGTGTGGACTTGGGGCATCTGGCTTCTTTGGCTCACACTGTCTACAGTTGTTTGGGGTTGGTATTTGAACGTCTTTGTCGCTTCTGTCACTTTAGTGAAGTCACTCTGGTTAAGAAGAGGACCTGCTGTTTTGGAACCTCATGTCACTGGTTTGACATCTGAGGAAGAAAATTCTTGAATTTGGCCGAAGTTTCCCCTGGGATTTTCTGGGGTTGGGTGATTTTCAGGCATAGTTCTGTACTTTTTATCTGTACTTAGGGAGTTCGTCATTAAGGTGGTAAGTCTTAGCTCTTGAAGGGACATTAACTCCCTTTTCTGGCATCCAGTCAAGGCTGGACATAAGTCACATCCTCAGATTTTCTGTGAGCCAGATAGAGGCCTAGGGGGGTGGGGAAAAGAGGGGAGATCAGGTGAATGGCTTATCTGCTTTCTTCTGTTTTTGCTTTAGGTAAAATGTCACTTCCCGGACCTTACCAGGCAGCTGCAGGGCCATCCTCTGGGCCCACCGCTCCCCCAACCTATGAAGAGACGGTGGGTGTCAGTGGTTACTATCCGACACCCCCGGCACCCATGCCCGGGCCGACCACTGGGCTGGTGACAGGTCCAGATGGGAAAGGCATGAATCCACCTTCGTATTACACCCAGCCGTCGCCTGTCCCCAATACCAATGCAAGTACGTATGGGCCCCAGGTCCCCCTTGTCGCTCCTCAGGTCCTTCTCCCGGGCTTGGGGACTCAAGAATCAGTAAGTAACCACAGATGACCTGAGTCTAAGAGAGCCAGGTGCGGTACATGCCTGTGACCCCAGTGCTTAGTGCATTTACGTAGGCGGGTCAGGCCGGCCTGGGCAAAGTGTGAGACCCTGTCTGAAAAATAACAAGCAAAAGGACTGAGTCTGTGGCTCAAGTGACAGAGCACCGGCCTAGCAAGCACAAGGTCCCAGGTTCAGTCCCCAGTCCCACCTAAAACAAGAGTCTGAGCAAATTGCCAGCTGGGCAACTTCACCCTGAAATTTCCCAAATGGTTTGTTAGCGTCCATGTTGGTGAAGCCCACGGTTTTCCAATACGAAATATGGTTTAGGATCTATCCCGCATCCACTGTGCCCTCAGCATTTGGCACAACCAATTGTCCTAAGAAGTGTGGGGTGGGGATTTGTGATCTCAGGGCCCCCACCCGTCCCACCGAGGTGACATGGAGAGCCCCTGTGCAGAGGCCAGGGCCAGGGTGGGAATGGGGAAGAGAGACGGCCCTGAGTGAGAAACAGGAACACGCAGAACCCCTCCAGGCCTGGGCGGCTCTTCACAGCCCTTGCGCCGTGGGCCTTCCTGCTGCCCAGGTGGAGTGAGTCAGAGTCCCAGGCAGCTCTGTCTAGCTGAGAGAGCGAACTTGTAAATCGGACTGCCTGGCTCTGTTGCTCTCCTGGCCCTGGGTTCCCATCTGTACATAGGACTTAGCACCAGGTGAGGTGCACATGCCTGTGCACTCAGGAGGAGGAGGTAGGAGAATCTCAAGTTCAAGGCCAGCCTAGACAAAGTTAGTTTGAGACCCTACCTGAAAAACAAAACATAAACAAAAGAGTTGAAGTGTGGCTCAAGTGACAGCACTTGCCTAGCAAGCGCAGAGCCCTGGGTTCACATCGCAGTACTACCCCCCAAAGGGGCATGGTTAGTAGGTTCCTGGGTTACTCAGTAAAGTTCCCCGTGCTAAGCAGAGAGCCATTATTTGATCAAAGTGAACTATGAAGATTATCGTGCATAAGTCTGGCCCCTTGAGGGTGACGTGATAACTTTAGACCCTCGTAGATCAGGCTGTGATCAAGAGAGACTTTATTCTTGACCCCCCCACGCCCCCCACAAAAAAAAGATAAAACTCCACGCAGTTTCCACCAAATACTGCGGCCTGCTCCGTGCCGCGTCTCATGTCTCGGAAGAAGGGCCTCTGCTGCCCAGCTCAGGTGACTCCCGTTAGGCGATATAAATGGCATTCTCAGGGCATAAAAAGGAGCGGAGGGAAGTCACTTGGTCAGAAGTATGAGCTGAGACAACCGATTGTCATCACCAAGCATTTGTCCCCTGATTACGATGGCTGTCCACACACGTTTGCACATAGCTGTCTTTTCTCATTCATGGCGTGCACCGACATGGGGCTCCAGCCGTCTCCCAAGCCCAGTCTGTTTCCTGGCTTGATCAACACCGCCCTTATCGGCAGGTGTTGGAGGCCGTCCAGCGGCCTGTGAGAGCGGGTTGTTGATGGAGGGTGCCTGCCGGGCACGGCAGGAACCAGGTGTAGTCCTTATCTCAGCGGCTCTTTGTGCCAACTCTGTCCACTTTAAAATAACAGCTGTATGGAGACACATCCGATAACTCAAGTTCACTCTTCAGTTCTTCAGTTTGGTGGTCTTAGCATACATACGCAGTTGGCCAAGCGTCCACACTCACTTGAGAATACTGCCTTCACCCCAAAGAAGCCAGCAGGCGCTAACGGCTCTTCCCCCTCCCCCTTCTCCTAGTTGCTGGCTACCACCAATCTGTGGCTTGGAGAACTGGGGCGAAGTCACAGTCAGTCTCCCTCCTTACTCTGCGGACCACCTTGGGAGCTCACAGGCTGAGTCAGACCCCTGGGGCTGAGCCCAGGCCCCACGGGATCCTGGATGCCGGGACAAGCCCAGCCAGGTCCTGCCTCCAGCTCTGCATTCCCTGTTGCTGTGTGGAGGTTTCCAGAGCCTCTCAGTGGAAATCCTGGTCTCCTAGAGGTCCTCTCTAAGAGGAGTTGTGTCATACAGTACTTGTTCTTTGTGACTGGCTTGTTTTACTTAGCTTAGTGCCCTCAAGTTTCAGCCACACTGTAGCATCTGTCAGAATTTCTTTTTTTTTCTTGTTTTGGCAGTACTGGAGTTTGAACTCAGGACCTTGTGCTTGTTAGACAGGCTCTCTGCCACTTGAGCCACTCTCCCAGCCTTTTTGCTTTTGCTTTAGTTATTTTTTTAGGTAGGGTCTTGAGTTTTTGCCCAGGCCGGCCTGGACTATTTTTCTCCTACTTTCATCCTCCCTGGGAGCTGGAGTGTCAGGCACATACCACCATGCTAACTCACTAACTTTCTCCTGGGGCTGGCCTCAAACCCTGATCCTCCTTAGCTCTGCCTCCCAAGTAGCTGGGATTCCAGCCCATTTCCTTCCTTTCGAAGGCTGAGTGATATCCCACACTATGGGACCACGTTTTGCTTACCTGTATATCTGTGGGTGGACACTTGGATGGCTTCTGTCACCTGGCCATCATGAATGTTGCCTCTGTGAGCACAGGTGCTCAGGTACCTATGGAAGCCCCTGTAGTGGCCATGCTGTTTACTGAGTGCCCTGTCCCTGTGTACCGAGCAGCCTGTGTTGTTGGTTCCTCCTCAGTTGCTGTTCAGACGGTCTACGTGCAGCAGCCCATCTCCTTTTATGACCACCCTGTCCAGATGTGCTGTCCTTCCTGCAGCAAGATGATCGTGACCCAGCTGTCCTACAACGCCGGTGCCCTCACCTGGCTTTCTTGTGGGAGCCTGTGCCTGCTGGGGTGAGTCCACCCTCCTCAAGCCTTGGAGGGTTCCCAGCTGCAGTGTGATTAACATTCGGGGCCTGGGACTTCATGTGGTGTGCATTGTAGGATTCTTTTTCTTTTTTGTGGTATTGGGACTCGAACCCAGGGCCTTTGTATGCTAGGCAAGTGCTCTACCACTGAGCTCCACCCACACCCCACTGCAGGACATTGTCCCTGGTCTGCCCACCAGATGCCCGTAGCACCCCACTCCCAGTGTAGCCAAATCTGCCTCCTGTGGGTGCAGAGTCCTCTCAGGTAAGCACCACTGCTCCCAGGCACATCTGCACCTGGCCACTGTGTCCTGCCGAGTGCAGATCACTCCCTGTGTGGAGGGACACATGGGCAGCTCACATCTGCAGAGGGGACCCTGGGCGGGGTTCTCTTTGTTCTAGAAGTTTATGACTAAATAGCCATGTTTACTCCAAACACTCACTTTACCATAATCCTTTCCAAGCTTTGGATCCTTTTACGACCCCTGGTAATTCTGCTGTGCTGGCAGGGGACTCTATAAATATTTACTTCTGCACCGAGGGTATTGGATTTGAGGAGATAATAGTTTCTGTGCTGGGAGAGAAATCTGAGGCAACACGACTCAGTTTTCCTCCATGCAGGTAATCATAGCCTCCTGCTTCCCAGGCGGGTGAGCCACTGAGACAACTGCAGCTCTGTGTCATTCCTTAAAGGGAATGGGGTCTGTGGGTTTCTCCACAGGATCCCAACTCTTGGGTGACAGGCATGTGCCTCCTCATTGTCTGCTCATGACATTAGGATGGGAAGGAACAATATTTCTTTTCCTTGTTTCAAAGAGGGGCTCAGAGCTCCCAAGAGCCTCACTGACTCCCTGGAGTTATGCACTGAGTGGGGGAGAATGGCAGGTTTTGGGCCCCTCATCCTCTGGCTTGCTCACAGATTCAACTGTTGGCTGTTGCTTTCATTCCTTGCAAAATGCTAAATAAAAGTTCTTCGCCTCTGGGCGTGGTGGTGTGTGTCTGTAATCCCAGCATTTGGGACCCTTGTGTTTTTGCAGGTGTGTTGCAGGCTGCTGTTTCATCCCCTTCTGCGTGGACGCCCTGCAGGACGTGGACCACTACTGCCCCAACTGCAAAGCCCTGCTGGGCACCTACAAGCGCCTGTAGGACTCGCCACACGGGGGGCTCATGCTGCAGGAGGTCGCCTGACCGTCACCCAGCTGCCCCAGGAGAAGCTCTGCTCCAGTGACTTCATCTCTCCAGGGACTCCACCTTCATGTCTTTTGGGGGGAAAATGTCGCAAAAGTAACCCACCTCCAAACCCCAGAAATTGCTGCTTGGAGTCGCACATGGGCCTTGCAAGGACGTTGACCTTGAATGTTTGTTCAAGGGTTTCTCACCGCCTACCTGGGACTTGTCACCCGGGCTAACTGTGATTGTCACCCCCTTTGCTTTTCCTCTGGTGATTGGCTGTTGGCTAGCTCCTTTTCCTGCCTCAGTGGGCCTTCCTGGTGGTCATCTCAAACCTGAGAAGCCACAGTTTGCCTTATCTTTGAGACTTGTGCCGGAATGTGGCAGAACCAGCCTTAGTGCCTGTCATCTGTCTCTTCCCTCGTGACAAAGACCTTGCCTCAGGGCTTGCGCTGACTCTAATGCAGGCTGCAGTCTTTAGCACTCAGACTCACTTTAATTTCCTCATGTTTTTAAGTGCACGGAGGGCTATTAACACCCACCAGGCACACATCCTTGGGGTTGAAAACGCAAATAAAGAAATCTGGGGCTGGGTGTTGCCATTATTCGGTCTCTTCTTGCTTGGTGTCAGCACCACTTTGCACGAAGGGCTTTTTCTCAGAGTGATTAGATTCACAGTTCTATGGCCTGCTTGTGAAAGGGGTTTATAGAACCGTTTTCTGTGAGGATGTGCTAGATATCCTTTTCCTTCCCATTTGCCAGTGTGCACTTTGTTTTTCTTTTTTTTAAGACAGGGTCTTGCTGTGTTGCCCAGGCTGGCCTTGAACTCCTGGGCTCAAGTTATCCTCTTGCCTCAGCCTCCCAAGTAGCTGGGACTGCAGGCATGCCACAGTGCCTGGCTCTTTCTTTGGGTAATTTCTTCCACTGCCTTCTTACAGAGGTTTGGTGCAGTTCTGAAGACCCTTTGGGGTTCTGGCTGTATAAGCAGAGAGAAGAGGAAAGCCCAGTTGGGCCTGTTGGGGTGCCACAGGGCTGAGCGCTTGTCTCAAAGGAATTTAAACTCTGATTTTATTTTTCAGAGATGTCGTTTGTTGTATGACATCAACATGGTTTGTAGGACCCAGTGACAAGCCAGCGTTCTACAATGGCTGTTGGGTCATCTTTGAAATGGAGACAGAGCCGGGCTTGCCTCTCAGGGACCCCATTTCCAGCCAAAATCAGCACAGGGAATTCCTGTGAGTAGACTAGCGTGGGGAAGTCAACCCTCCACCTTGAACGAGAGTCTGTGTATTGGTGGAAAACGATGGTTATAACCCTTGATTTCAGCTCTTCATTCATTCCAGGGTTCCAAAGTGCCAGTCATTATTTTGGAAGTGAATTATAAATGACACATAGTACTTTGGTGTTACCTGCTTTAAAAATAAAGTCTTTGGTTCACTCAGTGAACTATTTATCCATTCTTCTTCAGTGAAGAAAGGTCTCATGTGTTTCCCGGCGATCCTACAAAGAACCTTTGTTTGTTCCCTGCCAGGAGAAAACCCAAACTTGAGACTCGCTGAATGTCCTGCAACGTCGATAGGCCCGATGTGGGTTGAGTGGCTCGCTAACGAGTCGGATCCTGATGTGAGGCTGTCAGAAGGCCGGAGGCGTCATCGTGGCAGTCAGCCATGGCTTTCAGGTTTTAATGAAACGCACAGAGGAAAGCTGTTCCATTCATCCTCAGAACAGTGCTCGCTTTGTTAATTGATGGGGCACTGTGACATGCCAGGGACATGGGTGTCACCCCCTTCCTTTTCCCCACCTGTGGTGACACAGTTCCATTTGAGGAGGCGCAGGGAAGCCTTGTCACCTTGGGTGGAGCACATTGCTACTTAAAACCTATTTCTGTTCTAGGACAATCACTGCTCACAGGCCACAGTTGTGTGGTTTTTTCCCTTTCATCTGATCAAACTCTAGGCTGGGCGGAGTAGTTTTCTGGGGTGGCGGTAGATAAGTGACCCCAGCTGTTACTAATTACGCCTGCAAAGTGCTTCAGACCAGGGCCTGATGTGCACATATCCCGTGGGCCTCTGAGCAGACAGCGTGCACTGGACACTCCATTTTATGGTGCAAAGCACGCATCTAATCCTAACGTTTTTGCACACTAGAAGGTGCTCTGGTTTGTCACTGTTTGTTGGGGACATTGGCATTAGTCTGTGACTGACGCTGAACCACAGTCAATGATGACAGGGCTGCGTACCAACCTTGAACTGGAAAGGTCTTAGTGGCTGCCTGTCGTACATACGGTGATGCCCTTCTGGGCCACATGAAACGCTTCTTCGTGTCTTGTGAACAGGACATGCAGCTACTGCATGGATCTTACACAGGACCTGACCTTTGCTGAGCACAGCCAGCTTGGGACAGCGGCTTCCCCCGTGCTACCCAGACGCCTCTTTGGGTGCTGAGCCTTTTAAGGCCTGCTGCCTTTAAAATGGCGTGGCCCGTTTTCTCCGAGGGGAGGCCTGGCGGGTCCAGGGTGCTAAACGCCACCTCGGACTTTCTGGGCTCAGCTGTCTGAGGGGAGTAAATGCACACGCTGGAATTTTGCTTGCACTTTGGTCCTTATTAAAATTATCTGCTGTCTGTTTGACTCCAGAGTTTACAACGGGAGCCTGTGTTTTACAGGTTCACGGGGAGGGAACTGGAAGCAGACCTTGCCACACCATGCAGGAGACCAGGGGTGGTTTTAGGGTTTGGGGGTTTTGTTTCCTTACTTTAACCTAAGATCTTTAAAGGAACAAGATTTGAGGCTCAGAGTGAATAAAAGGAAAGAACAAGAACCCAGCACATGCTCAGGGTGGTGCATTTAACCGTCCTCTCGATATTCTCTGAAGTACAGGAAAACGGTCCCCTATTCTAGTATTTTCTTCCTCTTTTTTAAAAAATGGTGCTGGGAATTGAACCCAGGACCTCTCACTCTGCCACTGAGCCACATTTCACCGCCCTCCCCCCAGCCTTTGGTTTTTTGAGACAGGGTTTCACTATAGCCTAGACTGACCTCAAACTTGTGATCTTCCTGCCTCAACCTCCAAGTGCTGGATTACAGGCATGCACCACCACACCCAGGACCAGTCATCTTTTTACTGTCTCTAAATTTGCCTTTCCCAGAACTTCAAATAGACGGAATCATAAAGTGTGTGGCCTTTTTGGCTTAGTTTCTTTCACTCATGCATTCCAGCTTCTGTGTCTGGACAGCCCATCTCTCTTCAGTGCTGAGTAATACTTCACTGGCTGGCTCTATTTAAATACACATACAAATGTTTTTATTGGGCTTAGCACTCCAGAGTCTCTTCACCCCAAATTGCAGTCCATCTTCCGGAACGGAGTTACTGTGTAACTTTGGGTTGCACAGAGTAGGTGTGAGAAGGGGGATGTCACGGTGTAGGGGTCCCACGGGTCACCGTGTGTGGTTGTGAACACTTGATCATTGACACCTGCAGGTTTACTTACCCATTACCCTGCAGTGGACTTTTGACTTACTTGGACCTTTTAGCTGCGGTAAGTCACTCTGTTGTGGACATCTGTTTACAGGCGTTTGTGTTAGCGTATGTTTTCAGTTTTCTTGGGTACATACCTAGGAGTGGCACCACTGGGTCACACAGTAATTCTGTTTAACTTTTAGAAGAAATGTCGTGTGGCTTGTTAAAGAAATACGTCCTAGGATTGAAGGAGTAGCTCACGTGGTAGAACACCTGCCTAGCAAGTGTGAAGTCTTGAGTTCAAAACCTTGGTCCTGCCAGAAAGAGAATAGAAAAAGAAATGGTGTCCTTGTCACAAAAATCATGTCTGGCGAGGTGTGCCCACCTGGAGCTGCCCTGGCAAGAGCTTGGACATCTTCCAATGAGATGTCACTTTGGGAGCCTGGAGGCAGCAGAGATGGCTTCAAAGTGAAAAGACTCTACCTGGGCTAAGCGGCCTCCGTTCCTTGGCTGACCTGAGCACCGTTCTTCCAGGGCCTGCCGACATTGGAGCAGGGCAGGAGGCTCCTGGTTAGGGGGCGACCTTGGGATTTCAATGCCAGAGTCCGAAAAACCCAATAGGAAAGTTTGTCACTGTTCTCTGATCTTACTGTGTTATTTAATTTTGGCAGTACTGGGGTTTGAACTCAGGGCCTTGCACCTGCTAGGCAGGTGCTCTACCACTTGAGCCACACCTCCAGCTCTGTTTTGCCTTAGTTATTTTTCATGTAGGGACAGGTAGGGTCTCCTATTTTTGTACTGGCCTGGTCTCAGACTGTGATCCTCCTCTGCCTTTGAGAAAGGCCCAGAGTGGCCCCAAACCGTGCTCCTCCTGATCTCCACCTCCTGAGCGGTTGAGATTATAGGCGTGAGCCACTGCACCCAGCAATAATTTATATATTTTTTGAGACAAGGTTTTTGACTGTAACCCAGGCTGGCTTTGAATGTGTGATTCTGCCTCTGCCTCCTGAGTGCTGGGATTACAGGCATGCTCACCACGCCACCTTGTTTGCCAGGGACTCTAGAGAGAGAAGAGGAGGGTGTGGTCAGTGCCAAGTGTTCTTCAGAACTATTTTGTAAACTGTAGTTTGCATTTCCTGTTCACATCTGGAATTAAAGTGGTAAAAAAAAAAACCAAAACCCTCACCCTACACCAAGTGGGAGGTGGTGGGCTGGGGTCTTGTCCTTCTGTATGTGACAATGCAGCCCTGAGCTGGGGGCCGGGGGGGGGGCAGGGGGGGATGTAGCGCCCAGCACACTGTCATGTCTAGCTCGTCAATGGCTGGCAGGTGACTGGTGGCTGCAGAGACAGGACGCCTCCCGTGTGTCCCAGGAGCCTCTCTTGGCTTACCCTGCTCTGCTTTGCTGCTGTTCCAAGGGTCGCCTCCTTGTCTTATGTCAGCCATGCTCTGTCCACAGCCTTAAATCAGTTCAAGCCCCATCAGAGACCAGGGAGGGGGAAAGAGAGCGAGCGAGTGAGAGCACGCGTGTGTGTGTCTGGCGTGGACATCTCCATAGGTGTCTCCGAGTGTCTTTCTTGGGGGGTGTCTAAGTGTCCATGTGTGTGAGGGGCTCTGGGGGGCGTCAGGTATCTGAGTGTGCGTGTTGGGGGATCTCTGGGTGTTTTCGCAGGTGTGGAGGTCGTGTCTGTTGGGGGTGGGTGTCTTAGTGTGGTGCTGTGAGGGGTTCTGGGCGGGTCTATGTAGCTGAGTATTTGGCCCTGTGTGGGACATCGTGTCCCTGTGTGTCCTGTAGGCTAAAGGACAGAGCTGCCTCCTCCGGGAAGCCTTCATGTATCCCTGCAAGTATCCTCTGAGGGCTTTCAGGCCAGCTGCCCTGGGGTGGGGGGCCACCACTGTGTCACCCTGCCGCTCACAGGGTGGGAATGGTGCACTGCTAGGTAGTGGACCACCTGGCCAGGGTCAGCTTCAGGCAGGAGTTGCCAGCTGCGAGACCTTACGGGGTCCTCCCCTCGGGCCAGCCCAGAGGCTCAGCCTCAGCTGCACCCGGGCTCCTGAGGGACCATGAAAAACCTTGAGGCTTGGCCGCACCCCATCTGGATCAAATCCGAGGGTCTCAGGATCCCACAGACGCCAGGCACCGTGGGCCCAGGGCCTGGGACCCCAGAAGGGCTTTGGTTTAACTGTTTTTGTATCAGAAGAAAAAAAATGCCTGACGATAATCCTAATGAACCCAGCCCGGGCTGTGTTTCTCTTGGCACCAACTCAGTCATGAAATAGTGTTTAATATGAGGGCAGTGCACACAGAGTCCCGAGGTGGCCCGAGTGAGCCCGTGACTCCAGTGGGCCCCCAGGTCAGTGGCCTGGATCTGGTGGTTGATTTTATTTTTATTTGGCAGAACTGGGATTTGAATTCAGGACCTTGCACGTGCAGCGAGAATGCTATCTCGTGCTGCATCCCCAGCCCTTGGTGGCTGATTTTAGCGTGCTAGGCTCGGTCATGGTGGGACAGAATCCATGGTGCCCCTGACCACTTGGTGAGAGCTGGCCGGGTGGGGACACATTCCCAGAACATGGCAGAAAATAGGAGAGACGGCCTCCTTGTTCCTGGAATCCAGGCAAGAGCTCTGCCATTTTAGGGCCTCTCCTTGTGTTAGAATAAGATGATCCTACAAATAATGACTGCCTCAAATATGGTCCCACCCAGAACCTTCAAGCAGGGAAAGCCTCAGCACTGCTTTGCAGGTGAAGAAAGGGAGGCGTGGAGCAGCTGTGATTAATGTGGGGTGCTGAGCAGCTCACAGCAGGGGCTCCTTCTAGTTCTAAAATTCACCTCGGGCCCCCACCCATCCAGAAGGCCTGGGACACGCTTTTTGAAAAGAAAGCAACTGTGTGATTCCTAAGGCGAAGCCTAACAGATGCGATTCCATGGCCCAGATTCCAGGACCGGGTGCCCAGAGACAAGGAGCTGAGGCCGGGCAAACCAGGGTGCTCACTTCGCTTCTCCTGGCCCTTGACACCATGCCATTCCTGACTGTGGGGTGCCTTGTATAGTGTAGGGTGTTCAGCAGCCTCCCAGGCCTCCACCTACCAGAGGCCAGTCTCCCATGCCCCAGCTGTGATAATATCTCCAGGCGTTGCTCACTGTCCCCTGGGGGACAAAGACATCCCCTTTGAGAGTGCCTGAGCAAAATGTCAAGCAAACATTTTCCATATTTGGGATTGGGGGGCGCCTCACTGACCGGAGCAAGTGGTTAAAAATATAGCAATCCCAGGGCCGGGCATGGTGGTTCGTGCCTGTAATCCCAGCTATGGGAGGTGGAGGTAGGAGGATCGAGGCCCAAGGCCGGCCCAGGCAACAGTGCATGACAACGTGCAGAATTCCCCCAGTTGAAGTGCAGCAGGGTTTAGGGTATTTCCAGAGCTGGCGGCCATGACACGGTCGATTTTAGCATTTGTTTCGCCTCAAAAAGATCCTCGTCCCTTTGGTTGTCACCGCCCCCGGCCACCACTGCCCTTCCTCCTGTCTCCCTGGATCTGGAGTCATGTGGCGTGTGTCTTGGGGTCTGGGTTTTGCATGAGGGTCATGTCCTCAAAGTCCATCCAGGGCTCTCATCTCAGGCCTCCTTGTGGGGAGGAGGAGGGAGCTTGGACACTTTGTCCCCCTGGTGGGACCCAGGACTCGCTCACGCCCAGCTCCGCTGCCCGCAGGGTGCGGTTCCACCAGGGAGAAGGAAGAGGCGAGGGCCTCCATTTCCAGGCACACCTGGAGGCTCATCGCCCTCCCCCAGCTCAGCATCAGGAAGGCGAACTTGACCTTTGTCTGTGCGGTGCTGTCACCAGGAATGAGTAAAGGACAACTAGTAGGTTTGTGGTTGCCAGGAGTGTAATTGGCAGTCATTATGGGTCACCCCATTCGCCCACGGCGAAGCAGGCAGAGCAGCAGTGGGCACCACGGGGAAGACCTGCCACAGGGGGAAGGGGCACGTCCTGTCACCTAGTCCACAGTGTCCCCTTCCCCCGCTTAGCAGATGTGGAACTGCAATTCTCAGATTGAACTACTGGCCCGGGTTCCGAGGGGGCCCTTTCTGGAACCATCAACTGTGACGTCAGCCCTCAGCCCTTGCTCCTTTTCAGCGCTGTGTAGTATTCCATTGCACGGACGTACCCCAGCTTGTCCAACCGGTCACCTGTAGATGGGTACTTGGGTGTTTCCAGTGTCGTGCTCTTACGAAGGAAGCTGTTGCGAGTTTGTGCAGAAGTCTGCAGGCGGATCCTTCTCTTCGCCTGGGTGACCTACAGAGCGGAGCAGTGGTAGGTGGGCGTTTGGCTTTTAGACACTCGCTCAGTAGGTTGCTTTGGTTTGCATTTCTTTTACTCCTGAAGTCGAGCCTCTGTAAGTCAATCCATTTGCTTCCTTGTCTGTGGACGAGGTGTTTGCTTATTGGATAATCCGAGTGCACGTGGTACTTTTTTTGGTGGCACTGGGGTTTGAACTCAGGGCCTCCTGCTTGCTAGGCAGGCTCTGCCACCTGAACCA